ATACATTTTCGACGCTTTAGCCAAAAATGCAAAGCCCCTTGTATAAGCTAATGGAATTAAAAAGAAATCCCTCGTACCTGGTAATGGAATAAAGTTAAAGAACCACAGTGCACAGACTTAAAGTAACGCACAGAACTTTATGTAACAAGTGGACATCTGTAATTTTGTATGGACAGCAGTCCCCTGCATGGGGTACGTTCCAAGATGCTTGATGCTTGAAACTGCAGCATGTGTTTTTTCCTATACCTACATACCTATGATCAAGCGTAATTTATAATTTAGGCACAGTGAGAGATTAGTAATAATAAAGTAGAACTATTATAACAATAAACTGTAATGAAAGTTATGTGGGGCCTCTATCAAAACAGCTTTTTTCTCCCCCCTCTCAAAACATCTTGCTGTACTTTACTCACCCTGTTCTCGTGAGGGGAGGTGATAAAATGCCTATGTGGTGAGATGAAGCGAGGGGAACGATGTAGGCATTGTGACGTAGCGTTAGGCCACTACTGACCTTCTGATGCTTCGTCGGAAAGAGTATCATCTGTTTCCAGCCCACAGTTGATCACACGTAACTGAAACCGTGGAAAGGGAAACTGGGTAAGAAGAAGCTACTGTAAAATATATCTTCCGAATAGTAAAGTTTATTGAAAAAAAATTAGATTTTGAAGCAAGACCATTGTTTAAATACTATTACCTCAATTAATTATACTCTAGTTGTGTTGTTGTTTTTTTCCAAATTTGAACTCCTTTGGGAAACTTTGAACGGGGAAAGGAATGATCAAAGTTTGGTTTCTCTTAGATTTTTTATTCCTTACTTGTTTTGAATCAGTATCCTTCCAATATTTATTCATAAGCTAAAGATAACAAGTATAGGCCCATGCGAAAGATTTTTTATGCTGTCATCATTACTTATGGTGCATAGAAGGTCTTGGAAATCTCAAATTAAACAGGAAAAGACTGGGGGGGGGAACCTCTGAGCAGACCAAATTTATACAAAGCCAAATATCCAGTTTATGAATTTGTTATAAGCAAACGAGTGGTTCACAGGACTAGAACAGAAAAGAAAACCACCGACTTTCATCTAGCCTACAGATTTTAATTCTGGTTACAGTTAGAGACCAATAGTGACCTATGAGTGTGGATTTCTGCAACTCTGAAGGCTTGACACCGCTAGAGGGAAAAAGAATTCAGAACTGCTAGTTATTATACATGAGAGAGGCTTCCAACTTCATCGTAGATTAACTGCTCACATTTCACTGAAGCTTTGGCCCTTTCTAGAAGTGCAGGTCTGTTCTGTGCAATTTCAACTGATTGCTCTCACACTAAGTGCTTATGAGTGTGTCTTCAAATCTTTAACTCTTCGACTGCTTGACTGGAGGATAGTTTAATGGCATGGGCAGTGTGGGGCTGTTCTGAATTTAGCAGTGAAAGGGCTGAAGATTTATATTCATAAAGTTTAGAGAGTACTGTATGCAAGACAGTTTTGTTGAAAAGTAGAATCAGAAGGGACTTTCAGGATGTATTTTATGTCGTGTTTTGGTAACAGGAGAAAATACAGGACTGGATCAGCAATAAGCTAGAAGTAAAAAAAAGGTGAAGATGACAGTCATTTGCAGAGAGCTGCATGATTTACAGGTTTCAGCCATTTAATTCTTTCTGGATTCAGACCCCTTACGATATCCCAGTGGTTTCCAAACTTTAGCCTGCATCAGAACCTCCTAGAGGGCCTGTTAAAACACAGAGTGCTAGGTCAAGCCCCAGAATTTCTCATTCAGTAGGTTTGAGATGGGGCCCAAACACTTGCATTTCTAACAAGTTCCTAGCTGATGCAGATGCTGCTGGTCCCCGGACCACACTTTGAGAACAAGCTCTCCATCCATATGCCATGCAGTTAGTCTACTAACTGCATTGTATCTATAAATATATACATCTCTATATACAATTTTTTATATTAAGTAAGCTCCGTGCCCAACGTGAGGCTTAAACTCATGACCTCAAATCAAGAGTTGCATGCTCCACCGACTGAGCCAGCCAGGTGCCCCGGCCTACTAACTTTCAATAAGTACCACATTTATTCCATCATCTATAAGCAAACTACAATAGTGTGAGAACACAGTTTTGGGTTTTTTTTTTTTGTTTTTTTAAGATTTTAAAGTAATCTCTACGTGGGGCTTGAACTCACAAGCCCGAGACCAAGAGTCACAGGCTCTACCAACTGAGCCAGCCAGGCGCCCCAAGAACATAGTCTTAAAGTATTTTTATGTTTAGAGGGAGAGAGAGCGCACGCAAGGGTAGGGGGAGAAGGGCAGAGGGAGAGAGAATCCTAAGCAGGCTCCATGCTCAGCACAGAGCACGAAACAGGGCTCAATTCCAAGACCCTGGGGTCATGACCTGGCCCCAAATCAAGAATCAGATGCTCAATCGAAGGAGCCACTCAGGCGGTCCTCAAAGTATTTGTGTCAGTTCGGAGGGGGTTTATTTACATTAACCTTCAAAGAGGAGAAAGGGGGAATAAAGTTGCCTTTAATTCTTGTGTAGATATCTGTCCATTAAAATCTAGCAATAGTGGGGAGTTAAAAATTCAATGTTTGTAAAAAATGTCCTGGGGCGCCTGGGTGGCTTAGTCGGTTAAGCGTCCGACTTTCGCTTAGGTCATGATCTTGAAGTTCGTGGGTTCGGGCCCCACGTCGGGCTCTGTGCTGACTGCCAGCTCAGAGCCTGGAGCCGGCTTCAGATTCTGTGTCTCCCTCTCTCTCTGACCCTCCCCTGCTCACGCTGTCTCTTTCTCTCCTAGGAAAAAAAAAAAAAAGAAAAAGAAAAAAAAAAAGTCCTGATTACAGGAGAATTGACACAATGGCTAAGATTTGTCCTAGAATAAGCAAGCAAGCCAAGGAGGGAGAATGGGGGAATCCTAGATGAAACAAGACGGGCAAGGTATTGATATTTATTGAGACTGAATGAGCAGCATTGGGGGATTAGCTATACTGTCTATTTTTGTGTAAGTCTGAAAATTTCTGTAAGAGCTTTTTTTAAAAATTTGTTTTTGGGGGCACCTGGGTGGCTTAGTCGGTTGAGCGTCCGACTTTCGCTTAGGTCATGATCTCATGGTTCGTGGGTTCGAGCCCCGTGTCGGGCTCTGTGCTGACTGCCAGCTCAGAGCCTGGAGCCTGCTTCAGATTCTGTGTCTCCCTCTCTCTCTGACCCTCCCCTGCTCACGCTCTCTCTCTCCTAGAAATAAATAAAAAAATATTTTAAAAAAAAATTTGTTTTTGGTGTCCTCCCTGGGGCTTGAACTGTAGGACAAAGCTGTGAAAATTCACATCTTTATCAACATTCATTGAGAGTGTAGTTGACATATATGAAGAAAGGTAGACTGCATTTGAATGGTTTGTTCGAGATTCGTTATACTGACTATATATATTTATTATCCCTTGGGACAAACAGGCCAAACTTTGTGGGGGAGGGGGTGTCATTATAGTTCATATTTTTATACATCTTCAAAATGGGCTTTTCATGCACAGACAGAATTCTACACATCACTATGAAAATAGAGGTCTGTTTTCTTTTAACATGCCATGACTTGGTGTGTACCTTCATGCCTGGTCCAATTGGCAGAAGATACATGACAGCTGGGTTTCATGTGCCTGTTCTTAAGAAGGCTATTTTTTCTGAGAAAGTAAAATAAATACAAAGTAATAAGATATCATTTTAAAGAATAGTGCTTTATTGAATAAGTTTTATTCACAGAAAAATAAGCTTTAATCTATGGTGACTGCCAGATTATACAGTGGAAAGCAATTTTCTTAGTTTTCCATACCGATGGAAAGATTTCTACTAAATGAAAAAAGCCATAAAATTATATTCACAAATATAGCACTCTATCTCAAAACATTTCACATGATTATTCACAACACTAATACAATGACATAAGATCCTGTCATCCTGTCAGATTAAATATAACAGTAATGAAAAAATGCAAACTCTTCTAGTAAAAATTACATTAAAGCCTTTATTACAGCAAATCGAAAATGCAAATTTGTTACTAAGTATAGAGAATATGATAAAATATACTTATAGTAATTTTAAATGTTACATTAATGATACACAATAAGAATGTAGTAAATGCCAAAAAAACTATATGCATATCTGCAAACGTTAGTCATCAAAATAGAATCTTACCACCCAAAACATTAACGTAGTATTGTACAATTTGAAGATAAATGTATTTAAGATTGTCCTGTGGTATTAGTCATAAAGTGTCATTTAATATGTAGTGAAAGTTACGGTATAGAAGAAGAATTGAAAAAAATAAACATTGGAGACCTCCCAGGAGAGGTAACTTGAAGTTTTTCACCTTCAAACTATGTCCCAATCTGGGCTGCCACTAATTAGCTCTATAGCTTTGAGTAAATCACTTCACCTTTGAGCCTCAGTTGCCTCACCTGTGAAATGAGGGGGATGAATCAGATACTCTCTAAGGTCACTTCTAGCTCTGACACTCTATGATTCCATTAGGCCGCTAATGACATTCACATTGTGCTAAGTGTGTAAGAGTCAAATTGAAACTGATTATGAAGGTGGGAACAAGCCAGTTGCTTCTATTAGAAAAGCTCACCTGAACTTGATAAGAATAGTTTTTTCAAATTTTTTTAAAAAAGGAACTTAAATATTTTTAAGGACTTGACCTATTTATTATAATTTACATCTTAACTATGAGAAACACCAAAAAAGAGGAGTAAGAGTCACTGAAAGAGTATCATCTAAGTTGTAGCCCAGATTTCCAGAGTCAAGGCAAATTAACATTTGTACCTACACAGTCTCCCTGAACTCTCATAATTTTGTAAGATAGGTTATTATTGTTTCCCAGGTGAAGCAACAGCTCTTTTTTTTTAAAATCTTTTTAAAAAACGTTTACTTTTGAGAGAGAGAGAGAGAGGGAGGGAGAGAGAATGCAAGCAGGGAAGGGGCAGGGAGAGAGGGAGACAGAATCCCAAGTAGATTCCACAGTCAGTGGAGAGCCTGATGCCAGGCTTGAACCCACAAACCGTAAGATCACGCCCTGAGCCAAAATTGAACTGTGTGAGCCTAGCTTCCGGCGCCCCAGCTCTCCCCTTTTTAAAGCAGACTTGACTAAAAATAACTACCTCTGTCAAATATCCCCTCTTGTTTTCTTACTTCTCGAGGGGAAATGAAAAGCTGCCCGAGCCCTCCCATTCCTCCACCCTTGCGCTCCTAGCAGCCGGGGAATTAGGACACAACATGGCGACCTGGGCCTACGGAGTACAATACATGCAACTAATGCTGTGGTGGCAGTCTCCTTTCAGAGAGTTCAAAATTCCAGTTGTACCCACTAGAATGAAAACAGGAACAGAACCACCAAAATTTAAATAATGTAACAACAAAAACCAGAGATCATAATCCGCAGGGCCAAATCCTATTATACACACCCATGACACCCACCCTGGCCCTGGCCCACCTCAGCCCCTAGCCAAAAGGGAAAACGAACCCCCAAAACCCAAATCTATCAGGGAAGGCAATACAAAGCCATTAATTAATAAACTGGGGGTTTACTTTATAAACATTAAACCCATTTTTCAAAAACTAAAACAAGGCTTTTGATCAGCACACCAAATTATTATGAATAAAGACAACTACTTATTACAGAACGACTTGACTCTTCACATGACTAAAATGTAGTACAATAGGTGGGGACTTCGAAATCTTGAGCATGAACTTTAGAACCGAAAAGGAATGTCTACACGTAGATACGGAGAACTATTTTGGGAAAGGGGAGGCACAGATTTGGATCTGGTTATATTTGTGACCTTGCAAGTAATCATTTTTTTGCACAACCGGATGGAAAGGATCCAGTGCTTTTTATAGTGAGAACACAGACAAACATTGGTAAGTCTTAAAAAAATTTGATTAGAAGTTGGAGTGCCGAGTGATTTAAGAATCTGAAGCAACAGCATGTCTAAACAATTCTTAAAATAAACTTGTTAGCCACATCAGCTTCATGCATTACATTTCACAGCTCACAGGGAGAAAAAAGGTCTTTCTTCACTCTAAACATACAAGTTTTAAAAAGAAGAGTTTTAAATGAACTGAGGCTCCCAGAACAGGAAAAGCCTTATGTTAAAACAATTCAGTCCTTGGCCAAGAACTGGACTGAACTAACTACCTGACTCGGAACTGACACGTTCTGGAAACGCATTTAAAAAAATGTGAACACTTTTCTCCCCTTATAATTAAAATTCCAACCTTAGACTATATATGTAAAATTTAACTTAAAGAATATATAACTAAACCTAACTGGATGTGCAAAAGGTAAAAAAACAGAATGTACACAATAAAACAAGGGCAGGGCAGTCAGTTTTTAATTTCAAAAGCTCTCAACTGAAATTTGCAATGCTTTAAATGATTATCACTTAAAACTGTCGTCAACAGAGGTTAGGAGAACAGGACAGTACTTTTTCTCTTAGAAAATACAATGAAAATAGAATTTTTAAATTTCACTTTCCAATGTTTCTCCGCAGTAAAATGCCTCACTCACCTCTGTGACAGGCCAGTTTAAGAAATCTTATTAAGAAAACCCTGAGGGTTCTATGAAGCACTTTTCAACTTCCACTTTTTGGTCTATATTGACTCCTGTTCAAGTTTTATTTTCTTTTTAAGATTTAAGCAAGTATTCTCATAGTCCTCTCAAAATTTTATAACTTCCAAGAGATTTTAAGGATCTTGAGAGAACATTTCAGAAGTATCCACTACTATTACTAGTCAAGAAAACAAAACGATTTAGGTAAAGACTTGACATTCTGTCCTATATACATCTTAATTATCCTAACAGTAAAAACGCACATAAAATGTTAAGATACAAGACAATATGAGAACGTCAACACAGAAAGCTGCCACTCTAACTACAAGCAGTGTACAAACACGCGTCTACTTTTTCCTACATAAGCTGACAGATGTTTAAAATACTGGGTTAACAAAGATCTTTTAGTAAAGTGACTTAGGCAGGCTTAAACTAGCAAGGATTAAGGGTGAATCCTTACTAATTAATTGGAAGATCTGAGACATATTTTATATTTCATTTTACAAAATCAGGAATATTTATTTTGAAACAAGAGAAGAAGACATGGTCTACCTGTCTGAAAACTACCACTCAGAAATATTTTTCATCCACAAAGCAGGAAAACACATAAAACATTGAAGTTTCACATTGGCACCAAAAAGGTTAACTGCTCTGCCTTCTTGGATTAGAAAAACTAAAGCTGAGCAATAAGTAGTTTTGCAGGCGTTTGAACATGCCTAAGCCTTTAAATCAGTACAATACTTTCTACAAATTCTGATTACAAAAGTAATACACTTATAAAAAATTCAAACAGAACAAAATGAAAAAAATAGAAAGTGAAAGGCCCCTGCACCCCGCCCCCCCGGGACCCCCCCCATCCCCCATCAAGAGAAACCACATTTAACAGTCTGGTGCGTCATCTTTCCACATCTTTTGTTCTGTACAAATACAACACACACACACACACACACACACACACACACACACACACACACACTTTCATCTGGCTCATTCTATACACAGCGTTTTGCCACTTCATTTTACACTTAATGTATCTGATATCTTTCCACGTCAGTATGTGTTGGCTAAATGGAATTCTATCCTTAAATACCCTTTGGACAACAGCAAAATCGTTCTTTAGAAACACCCACCCAAGCACGTGTGTGTAATTTTAAAAGAGAATGGACAGAATCCTAAAACACAAAGACAAACGTCTAAAAATAATCTCTATCTTTCCACCAGTGGGGAACAGTTCATTCCTTTTTCACACAAAACAAATTATGTGATTGGGGAGATTAACTCTAATCTCCACGTTTACACAGAATGCTCCATTTGTTAAGCCTATATGAAAAGAATGAGAAATTCAGTTGATTAATTCACTTACACTTAGAAACCAAGTTGGTGTACTACAAATACACGCTGCGGTCAGTTATGATATGATGCTTAGACTCAATTTCAATTAAATAGCAGTAAAAAAAAAAAAAAGATATGTAAGATATGTAACATAGTTAATATACCCCCAAATCCAGAAATGCAAATTTGAGATTACAAACTAGAGCAGTGCAGTTTACATTCTGTCTACTTGGTAGCAAATGCTAATGGCATTCAATGCTGATTACTTAAAGTCAGTTCACATCACACACTCAATCAGGGTAATGAGAAGAACATAATGTGCCTAACTGTAGAGTTAGATTAAGACATAAAAATTTTTTGCTTGAATTTAATGATTGTGTAGCACATGGGACATTTGTCAACTGCTTCAGCACATTGTTTACAAGTGACCAGATGTCCGCAAGGAATAAAAACCATAGCAATATTTCTGTCCATACAGATTTTGCAAAGCTTCTCTTCCTGCAGGAGCCTTAGCTGCTCTTCGGCACTGATCTCTGCAAAAAGAGAAAACAAATGGGTTAATTTTAGACTTCCTTAGTTGCCGAGGTTGACTGAAACAACATGAAGCCCTACTGCGTGCCAGGCACCAATCGGGTGCCGGGACACAGGAGGACTCATACGGACACCAGCTCCCGAGCAGAGCAGCTGGCATGCCAGGGGGGGAAGGACGGGCGCTGAGGCTGTGGAGGGAAGCACGAAGTACGGAGTGATAAGTGCTATAATAAAGTTATGTGCAAAGGGCTCTGGGACAGGAGGAGAGGCCAAGTTCTTCTGTTCAGATGCACCCGGGAGGGCTTCCCGGGCTGGCGGCTGCACGCTGGGGGGATGGGTGAAGCAGACAAGTGGCATTTACACACGGCCGGCAACTCCCGCAGCAGAGAAGGCGGGTGAGGCGAGAGTGACGCACGGAAAGGGCATGGCTCACCCCGGAAACGGACAGATGCACATGGGTCTGAAGGACACTTCTGAGGTGAGACTAGATGAGTGGGGTGAGGAAAAAAGAGGAAACGGGGTTGATTTTAAGACTTCTAGTGTGGCTGGCAAGGGGACGGGGACGCCAAGAAGAAACCCAGAAGGAGGTGCTGGTTTGGCATTTTTCAAGTTATTTCTAAGATGTCTGCACGAGATCCGTACATAAAAATGTCACTGGACAGCCATGTTTTGAGGTCGGGAGAAGTTAGGGCTAAAGGCAGAGATCTGGGTGACATCAGCATACAGGTGGCTCTAAGGTACTTGCTTAGTTCAGCTTTTCACAGTAAACTAGGTTTTGTGAAACGTTAACAAATACGTCACAAAAATGTGTTTCGTGGTCATAGTTACTATAACGACACCAACCTCGGTGATGACAGCTGTTACCAGTAAAGCAACAGGTACTGCTGTGTGCTGGACACTACTCCAAAGGCAGAACGTATTTTGTCAATCTTTGTAATCTTTGGATACCAGTGGTTTCCAAATATGGCCTCACATGAGAATCACTTGCGACATTTAAAAAAAAAAATGTTCATTTTGAAACAGAGAGAGAGTGCTTGAGCAGGGGAAGAGCAGAGAGAAGGGGAGGGAGAGAGAATCCCAAGCAGGGCCCGTGCCACCAGCACAGAGCCCGACGTGTGGCTCGATCCCACAGAACTGTGAGATGATGACCTGAGCCGAAATCAAGAGTCTGACCCTTAACTGACTGTGCCACCCAGGCACCCACGGCTGTTCTGAACAACAGATTGCTAGGCTCCGTTCACTGCATCTAAAATTTCTGGGGTTGGTTTTATTTTTTATTTTGTTCTGAAATTACAGTATGCAAAAAGCAGCAGATACGGTTTTCTACAACAGCAATTTCTGGGCTTGCACACACTGGCAACTGGGAACCGCTGCTATGAAGTATAGGACACCACAGTATAGTGTATGTCTCCTCTTAGAAAGTCACAATGCATGTCCCTATTTAACTACAGAGCTCCCTTTCCACCATGTTCCTTTTAACATCCTGGGGAACACTATTTTGAAAACAAGTCTGGGAAACAGTGGTTCAGTTTTGGTCAACAAATATTTACTAAACACTTAACTAGGTTCTAGGGACTAGGGATATGATACAACAATTAACAAATATAAAGACCCCAGGTCCCTAATCGTTCAGAGACAAGAAACCCAAGTAGACAGGAAATTCTAAGAGAGTGTAACGATAAAGACCATTACAATGTGTTATCAAGAACACAGGGAAGGGGGGAGTGTGTGCTCCAGTGTGTGTGTGCGCACACATAGATGGAAGGTCTCCTGGAGGAAATGATACTTAAACTGGGTCCTGAGGAATGAGGAGTTAACTAGGGAAGAGAGGGAGAGGGCCCTGGGGGAAGGAGGTGGTGGAAGGAGAGCATTCTGGGCAGGGGGCATGGCGGAAGCCGGCTCCAGGGGGAGGGACAGAACCAGACGCGCAAGTGCCTGCCTAAGGCTTGGGAAGAGCCTCATAGGGAAACAGCATGACAGGAAGCTACAGGTTAAGGGACTCCATCATGGAGATCTGGCAACCCATGGGGCGCCTGCATGGCTTGGTCGGTTAAGTGTCCAACTCTTGATCTCGGCTCAGGGCATAATCTCACAGTTCGTGAGTTCGAGCGCCGCATCAGAGCGCCTGGGATTCTCTCTTTCTCTCTGCCCCTCCCCTGCTCATGCTGTCTCTCTCAAAATAAACAAACATTAAAAAAAAGAAAGATTTGGCAACCCATGTAAACGAGTTTGGACTTGTTCCTGAGGACCCTGGGAGCCAGTGAAGAGTCTTAACCTGGAGAGAGACAGGAGGAGATGTGCACTTTGGAGAGAGGTATGCCTGACTAGGGGTGGAGAGAAAGTATTAATCTCTTGTTTTTTTTAAATCTTTCTTCTTAAAATGCAACCTTGAAGGCATAATCAAACCTCTAAGCTCAAACATGGAATGCATTGGAGATCAGATCAAGCATCTGTCCTCAAGAAGCTTAGTCTAATGGGCAGGACAGAAAAGAAAACAATGTTACAAATGCTCTCACAGCAGGGAAAGTCAGGAGGAGGGAGTCCCCGAACTCTGCTTTGGGTATGTGGGGAAGCTTAATGCCTCTATGTGGAGCCAGGAAGGAGTTCACAAGATGGATTTAGGGGTGAGGACGGATGGGGACATGTTGTTTGACGGGGACAGACTTTCAGTTGTGTAGACAGAGTTATGGAGAGTGGTTGCACAACGTCAGTGTACTTAACACTATTGAACTGTATACTTAAACATTTAAAAAAATTTTTGAGTCTATTTATTTAGAGGGAGTACGTGAGCATGAGTGCGGGACAGGCAGAGAGAGAGAAGGGCAGGTTCTGTACTCCTCACAAGTGTGATGTGGGCTCAATCTACTGACCGTGAGATCATGACTTGAGCCGAAAGCAAGAGTTGGAGGCTTAACTGACTAAGCCACCCAAGCACTCCATAAAAAAATTTTAAAGGAACACTGGGGGCACCTGGGTGGCTCAGTCAGCTAAGCGTCAGACTCTGGCTCAGGCCATGACCTGACCTCTCGGTTCGAGTCCGAGCCCGCACAGGGCTCTCTGCTGTCAGCACAGAACCCGCTTCAGATCCTGTCCCCCTCGCTCACTCGCTCTTGCTCAAAAAATAAGGAAACTTGATTTTTATTCCCAACTATTTGAGTGACGTTGGGCAACAGCACAGCGACGCTTTAGTTTTCTCACTGAAGCAATGAAAGTTATACATGAGCTTTCAGGTTCATTTTGGTTCTGATGGTTTGTGATTCCATTTTACAGACCACAGGAGAATGAAATGTGAGGCCTACCAAACACTGTTATCATCAACTTTCTCTACCTTGTTTTTGGCCTTATGTATTTATGTACAGCCACTTAATTGAGATGGTTTTACCCCCTCAGACTAACAGTTTACCTCTGACAATTATTTCACTCAAGCCTGAAGGCAACTACTGGATTCTACATCCTTCAGTCTGGTGCCCTTCCCCTCCTACTTTCTACCAGGACCTCTTCTAGGTCAAGAGGTTCCTGGCACGTGAACTATGTAGACAATACCTAGGTAACTTTGGACAGTATTTGCTAATATTTTTACTACATTTAAAGCTTTCTAGAATACGGGACACCTGGCTAAGTCGGTGGAGCAACTCTTGATCTCGGGGTTGAGTTTGAGTCCCACGCTGGATGTAGAAACTACTTACAAAAATAAAATAAAAACTTAAAAAAAACATTTCTAGAATAAACCTACGTTCTTCATGTAACTATCAGAGCAGATCCATGTGGAAAGACAGACTGATAAGAAATATGTAAGGTATTTGGTTTTTATATACTGTAGTATGTACATAGATTAAAATAAGCACTTTAGAAGTAAAGGGCTTTATAGCACACTAAGTAAATCCTGAAAAAGAATGAAAGATACTACTTGGTACTAATTTTAGAAGACCATTGACTAGGCCATTCTCTGTCCCACAGCCATTGGGATAAAAGCTAGCACTGGACGCAGGATTTCTCGGCAAGCAACAGTAACAGTGTCGTTTTTCTAATAACTGCCACCTGCTCTACTTCAATTAGGCCGGCCTCCTATTTTGTATAGAATTAAAAGATTCCTAGTGCCAGTCTTTCCTCCTCAGCCTCTGAGAAGAGGAATGGGCAGCAGCCCCAGGGTGAGAAGACAGCCTGTGTCGGTGACCCGCCTGGCAATTCAGTGAGCCTAAGGAGAGGCAGACCGACGAATTCCAACTCGTGCCTCCGAGAGCTGCCCTCTGCGCAGCGCTCCTTCCCACACCATCCTAGCTCACAGTGTCAGTGGTGGTAAGAGGCACCCGGGCCTCCCGCTGGCTAGACGACAGACAGACTCTGTCCCTGTTCTCTTCCTACCGCACCCCACTCACTCATTCTGCAGCAATCAACACCTTCACGTATAAAAGCTAACACTTCACTGTCAAACTTGAGCTATGGTTAAGATGCAAGGAAAAATGATACAACCACTCGTATTTCTATTGCAGTAGAAAGATGACCGAGTCAGCGGTCCGTGTAACCATCCTCAAGACAAGTGGAGCTATTACAGGTAAATGCATCCTTAGGAAAAGAGTGGTAAGCTTTCTGCTGAGTGTTTTATATCAGCTGATCTAATTTTAAAAGCCATTAAAGTTATACTGTTTTTTGACTGATGTAATTATCTTAATAATGCTTTAGAAGAAGAAATAACTTATAGAGCAAAAGGATCTTTTTTTTTTTTTTTTTTAAGTAAGCTCTACATCCAATGTGGGGCTTGAACTCAGAACCCTGAGATCAAGAGTCACATGTGCTTCCAACTGAGCCAGGCAGGCGCCCTGAAAGGGTTGTTAATGAAAAAAAAATTAGTAAGTAAACTTTAAGGTTTATTAGCACTGGGAGAATTTTCAACCTTTGGGAGAGGTGGTTAAGAGCTCAGAGAAGAATGATTATTATTATTTTTATTTATTTAAAAGTGTTTTTTTATTTATTTTCAAGAGAGAGGGAGACAGAGAGTGAGCGGGGGAGGGGCAAAGAGCGAGAGAAACACCAAATCTGAAGCAGGCTCCAGGCGCTGAGCTGTCACCAGACCCTGATGTGGGGCTCAAACCCATGAACTGTGAGATCATGACTTGAGCTGAAGTTAGATGCTTAACCGACTGAGCCACCCAGGAACTCTTATTTTTTTTTATTTTTTAGAGACAGAGCACAAGCGGGGGACAGGGGTGGAGGGAGAGAGACAGTCCCAAGCAGGCCCCACGATCAGCGTGGAGCCCAATGCATGGCTCAATCCCATGACCCTGGGATCATGACCCGAGCGGAAATCAAGAGTTGGACGCTCAACCAACTAAGCCACCCAGGCACCCCTCAGAGATTAACAATGTAACTCAATACCCAAAATGTATTCACACCTCAAAGCTTTTCTTTAACCTTCAATGTTGCTGTCAAACACCAGAGTAGCTATCATCTTTAAAGAAGGAACCTGTATTTTTTATTTTAATTCAATGAGTGTATTATTTAATACACTTTCTAGGGGTGCCTGGCTGGCTCAGGTGGTAGAGAGTGTGACTCTTTAAAAATTTTTTTTAATGTTTTATTTATTTCTGAGAGACAGGGAGAGAGACAGCGTGAGCAGGGGAGGGTCAGAGAGAGAGGGAGACACAGAATCTGACGCAGACTCCAGGCTCTGAGCTGGCTGTCAGCACAGAGCCCAATGTGGGGCTCGAACCCACAAACCACGAGATCATGACCAGAGCCAAAGTCAGATGCTTAACCGACTGAGCCACCCAGGCGCCCCTAGACAGTGTAACTCTTGATGTCAGGGTTGTTGAGTCCAAGCCCCATGTTGGGAGTGGAGCCTACTTTTAAAAAACTTTAATATATTTTCTATATATGATTTTAAAAAATTTTTAATGTTTTTATTTATTGAGAGAGACAGAATGCTAGTGGGGGAGGGCAGAGAGAGAGGGAGACACAGACTCTGAAGCAGGCTCCAGGCTTTGTGCTGCTGACAGCACAGGGTTGAACCCATGAACAGTGAGATCATGCCCTGAGCCAAAGTCAGATGCTTAACTGATTGAGTCACCCATGCGCCCCAATACATATGATTTACAGTACTGGGTGCCACTCATTCAAGCTCTATTTAGTAATATAGCACTTTGATATGTTCACACCACAAGAAAAGTTGCAGAACACTCAAAATCTATTTCAACTACGAAACTTAAAGATTCTACACACAATGATAAAAGCCTTTCTTGTTCTTTATCTAAGCCAAAACACAAACCCACACTCTAAAAATTTTTTAAAGTATTTACTGTGGGGGGCGGGGAGGGAGCGCACACATACTATGCGGTGAGTACGAGCAGCAGAGGGGCAGAGAGAGGGAACCCCAAGCTCCACTCTGTCAGCAGGGCTCGACCTCATGAACCGTGAGATTATGACCTGAGCCAAAATCAGGTGCCCACACACTTAAAATTAATAAATCAGTGGCTCTTACTTGGATCCCAACTACGAGAAATCAACTGTTTAAATGTTTTAAGGGGGAAAATTAAAACCAACTGATTTTTAGATGATATTATAGAATTACTGGTAATTTTGTTAAAAGAGGTAACAGTATGTTATAGAATAATGTATATCCCCAAAATTCTTATTTTGAAGCCCCAAACTCCCAATGTGATGGTACTCACAGACTTGCCCTTTGGGAGGTAATTAAATTGAGATGAGGCCATGAGGGTGGGACCCCCTCATTATGGAATCAGTTTTCTTTTTCCTTCTTTTCCTTCCTTCCTTCATCTTTCCCTCCCTCCCTCCCTTTCTTTGTATGTATTTATTAAGTTTTATTCATTTATTTTGAGAGAGAGCATGAACAGGGTAGGGGCAGAAAAGGGGTGGGGGGAGAGAATTCCAAGCAGGCTCCACGCTGTCAGTGCAGAGCCTGACACAGGGCTTGATCTCATGAACCAAGAGATCATGACCTGAGCCGAAATCAAGAGTCGGATGCTTGGGGCGCCTGGGTGGCTCGGTTGGTTAAGTGTCCGACTTCGGCTCAGGTCATGATCTCACAATTCATGAGTTCAAGCCCTGTGTTGAGTCTGTGCTGATAGCTCAGAGACTGGAGCCTGCTTTGAAATCTATATCTCCTTCCCTCTCTGGCCCTCCCCCACTCATACTCTGTTTCTCTCTCTCTCTCAAAAACAAATAAAGGTTAAAAAAAATTAAGAGTTTGATGCTTAACCTACTGAGCCACTCAGGCACCCCTGTACGTATTTATTCTTAAAAGTAAACTCTATGCCCAATGTGGGGCTCAAACTCAGGACTCAGAGATGAAGAGTCACATGCTCTATTGACTGAGCCAACCAGGCATCCCATGGACTCAGTGTATTTATGAGAGTGTCAGAGACCAGAGTGCTCTCTTTCCTGGCCATGTGAGGACACAGAGAGAAGGCAGCCATCTACAAGGCTTACCTGAGCACAGTTTAAGTTACTGCTTAACACACAGTATTAAGATTATATTAAAAATGTCCATGGGGCGCCTGGGTGGCTTAGTCGGTTAAGCGTCCGACTTTCGCTTAGGTCATGATCTCGCGATTCGTGGGTTCGAGCCCCGCGTCAGGCTCTGTGCTGACTTCCAGCTCAGAGCCTGGAGCCTGTTTCAGAGTCTGTGACTCCCTCTCTCTCTGACCCTCCCCTGCTCACACTGTCTCTCTCTCTCTCCTAGAAATAAATAAAACATTAAAAAAAGTTTAAAAAAATGTCCTTATCTGTTAGATATATATTAAAATGATGTATGAGATGCCTGGAATTTTCTTTGAATACCACAGCAAAAAAAGTTGAGGAAGAAATGAAACAAGACTGGAAAACTGCTGATAATTATTGAATCTGGTTGATGGGTACATCAGGGTTTATTATATGGTTTTCTCCACTTTTGGGTATTTTTAAGTTTTTTATTAACAAAAGGTTTTTAAAAATGTTTATTTTGAGGGGGATGTGAGGAGGAGAAAAATGAATGGGCCACAAAGTCATCTAAGATGCTAGCCATAAGGCAGTGCTGTTAGGGGTTTCTTGCTTTTTAAAACAGCCATGCATACCTTTCTCCAATGAAGTCTGGCTTGATTCATCTTGTGTATTGTCTTTTTGAGCACTCACTAGATCTGTAACCAGAATCTCGAGTGATTTATAGTTGCTCCCAGATGTCTGAATTTTTTCCTCCATTACTTTCTTAATGTCTCTGAAATTGAATCCCATTCGTATAGCTTGCTGTACCATAGGATCTTGGAAGATGGAATCATCTGAAATAAAAATTGGTGAGAAAAAGGAATGTGGAGTTTAAATAATTATTTTCATTAATGCAACCCGACAGCAAAGTAGTTATAAAGAAACATTTAAGCAGCAAGCAAAACAAAAACAAAAACAAAAACCCCAAAATACAAACTAGCAAATCAAAGCAACTTTGGGAAGAAGAAGGAAATATTTAAGCACTGAAGAATCTTTCAGAATGTTGTAATAATTGAAAATACAGTATGTATTTTGTAGCACTATGAATTGAGCGTAGGTGCTTTAAATTTTTTTAATGTTTTTTATTTATTTCTGAGAGAGACAGAGTGAGCAGGGGAGGGTTAGAGAGAGAAGGAGACACAGAATCTGAAACAGGCTCCAGGCTCTGAGCAGTCAGCACCGAGCCCAATGCGGGGCTCGAGCCCACGAACCATGAGATCATGACCTGAGCCGAAGTTGGACGCTTAACCGACTTAGTCACCCAGGCACCCCGAGAGTGGGTGCTTTAAAGACCAAAGAAACAGTGCACGATTAGGTAAAAGAAGAAAAAGTTAAGTGCTTCAAAAATCAGAACTTTTTTCAAACCAGCTGTACTCAGTAACAACTAACCTAAGTACTTAAAGAGTGGAGGTCTTTCCCTTGTCACTAGCAATTATTTTGGAAAATCATGGGAAATACAGGGAAGTCCCAGTCTGTGACCTTGAATGTGTGAGTTTCCTATCTCTGAGACTTAGTTTCTGTAGCCGAAGGGGGTGAACTAGATAAGGCAACAAAGTGAACAGAAATTCACTTGAATGGTACTCAAAGTAGAAATACAGGTTATGTAGGGACCTGCTAAAAAAGGCTTACACCCTCTGATTCATCAATTCCACTCGAGTAGTAAAAATAACTACAAAGTCCACCAAAGACATGCATAAAAATATTCTTAGCAGTGTCATTTATAACAGCCTCAAACTGGAAACAACTAAATGTCTATCACCAGGTGAATGGATTAAGTAACTTGTGGTATATTCAAACACTACACAGCAAGAAGGAAAAGCGAACTACTGTCACAGACAATATGGACAAATCTCACAGATAAGATGAATTAAACGTCATCAGAACGATGAACTAGTAAGAAGGAATACACTGTATGATTACATTTACAAGATGTTCAAATCTAACCTATGGTAATAGAGGTCAGAACATAACTTGGGGGTAGATATTGATTGGGAAGGGGTTCGAAGGAGTTTGGGCACAGTGGAAATGTTCTATTATCTTGATTTGGCTGACGACGACACAGATATATGCATATTAAAATTCACTGAGTTGGGGGCGCCTGGGTGGCTTAGTCGGTTAAGCGTCCGACTTTCACTTAGGTCATGATCTCGCGGTTCGTGGGTTCGAGCCCCGCGTCGGGCTCTGTGCTGACTGCCGGCTCAGAGCCTGGAGCCTGTTTCAATCTGTGACTCCCTCTCTCTTTAACCCTCCCCTGCTGACGCTGTCTCTCTCTCTCTCCTAGAAATAAAACATTAAAAAAAATAATAAAAAATAAAATAAAAAATAAAATTCACTGAGTTGAATACTTAAGATTGGTCTATTTTAAGCATTTTATTGTATGTATATTATACTTCAACAAATGTTTTTAATTTTTAAATTTTTAAAAAATTTATCTGTATTGAGAGCAAGTACATGTGCAAGTGAGCAGGGGGAAGGGCAGAGAGAGAGGGAGACAGAATCCCAAGCAGGCTCTGTGACAGCACAGAGCCTGAGGCAGGGCTCGAACCCACGAACTGTGAGATCATGACCTGAGCTGAAATCAAGAGTCAGATGCTTAACCAACTGAGCCACCCAGGCGCCCCTCAATAAATGTTTTTTAAAAAGAGGAGCTGGAAAAGGATTTGATTATAAGAACGATTACATGGTAAATAACAAAAGAAGTAGGAAAGTAACTTAAGATTTGTTTGATAAAGAAAAATTCTGTCGGGAGGTTATAATGTAGATAAAAGACCATTTATGAGACTACTAAAGCATCTGGATGAGAAATAAGGGCAGAAAGTAGGGCAGAACCAGTGGATTTTAGACAATATTAAAAAGGTTGAATTCATCAGACCTGGTGGTTAATTAAATGTAGAGGGATTAAGGAAAGCAAAGAGCTTAAAACGACTCAAATTACTGGGCGACTCTGTGAACTGTGGAACTATGAACCAACTTGGGGGTGGGGGGAAGAGCAGGACTGGATTCCGTCAGAGTGGTTTTTAGAAATGCTGAATTTGAGCTGATTTTGAGATTTTTAGGTGGAGATGTCCAGAGGTCAGCTGGGCATCACTCTTTCCTGGTTCTACTATCTGGTTGTTTTTTTTCCCCCAGCGTGCTTTGTTGGCTCCTTCTGCTCACCTGATTAGACACTGGTGGTTCCCTTCCCATCCCCTCATCGACACCCCATTTTTAACAATCTCTCTGGATGCTTCCCCCTACCACAATTTTACCCTTATTTATGTAAGTTCCGGGTTTTAATACCCACCTACTTGAATATCCTGTAGGTATCTTAAGGTCACCTTGCTAAAAACTAAAAACAGAGACAATAGGATATGAAAAATAATTAAAAGGACCCCCCCACCTTGCAGATATATAAAAATTAACTCAAAATGGATCAAAGACCTGAATGTAAGAGCTAAAGTCATAAAATTCTTTTTATTTTTTAATAAATTTTTATTTTATTTATTTTTTTTTTTTGAGAGAGAGACAACATGAGCAGGGAAGAGGCAGAGAGAAAGGGAGACATAGAATCTGAAGCAGGCTCCAGGCTCTGAGCTGTCAGCACAGAACCTAGCATGGGGCTCGAAGCCACAAACTGCAAGATCATGACCTGAGCCGAAATCAGATGTCTTTTAACTGACTGGACTGCCCAGGCACCCCCAAAACCATAAAATTCTTAAAAGAAAACATAGATGACCTTGGATTAGGCAATGGTTTCTTAGATAAAACACTAAAAGCATAAGCAACAAAAAATAGATCAACTGGATTTTATCACAATTAAAAATGTATATGCTTCAAAAGACATGAGCTAGAAAGTGAAAAGGTAACCCAAAGAACGAGTGAAAATATTTGTAAACCATATATCTGACAAGGGACTTATATATAACAAAGTAGAATATGTAAAGAAAGAATTCTTACAACTCAATAACAAAAAGATAAATATGACAATACTTGAAAAATGGGCAAAGGCAATGAACAGACATTTCTTCAAAGAAGACCTACAAATGGCCAATAAGCACAGGAAAGGATGCCCAACATCATCAGCCATCAGGGAAATGCAAATCAAAACCACAATAAGATACCACTTCACAAACCCACTAGGATGGCTGTAATAAAAAGACACACAATAACAAGTGTTAACAAGGATGCGGAGAAACAAACTGGAACCCTTATACAGTGCCAGTGGGAATGTAAAATGGTGCAGCCACTTTGGAAAACTGGCCGTTTATCAAAAGGCTAACTGCAGAGTTACTACATGACCCAGCAATTTCCATTCATATATACTCAAGAGAATTCAAAACCCTATTTCCATACAGAAATTTGCACACAAATGTTCATAGTGGCATCAGCATCATTCTTAAAATCCAAGGAGTGGAAACCCAAATGTCTACCAACTGACAAATGGGTACACATTCATGGTATTATCCATACCAAGGAATATTTTTCCACCATAAAGAAGGAAGTACTCATATAGGAGTACCACAATGTGGATGAACCTCAAAGCCATAAACTATGATTCCATTCATATGAAACGTCCAGGGTAGGTAAATCCAGAGAGACAAGAAGTAAATTCGGAGTTGTTTGGGTCTGAGGGTGAAGGCACAGCAAAGGGAAGTGACTGCTAATGGGTATAGGGTTTCTTTTTGGGGTTATGATAATGTTGTGCAGCAATTAAATAGTTGTGATGGTTCCACAACCTTCTGAATATGCAAAAAACCACGAAAGCATACAGTTTATAAGGGTCAAATTTTTGCTGTATGAATTACATTTCAATTTAAAAACATCAATCTTGGGGCGCCTGGGTGGCTCAGTCGGTTAAGCGTCCGACTTTCGCTTAGGTCATGATCTCGCGGTTCGTGGGTTCGAGCCCCGCGTCGGGCTCTGTGCTGACTGCCAGCTCAGAGCCTGGAGCCTGTTTCACTCTGTGACTCCCTCTCTCTCTGACCCTCCCCTGCTCACGCTGTCTCTCTCTCTCCTAGAAATAAATAAAAAATTTAAAAAAAAAAAAAAAAAAAAAAAAATAAAAACATCAATCCTAAGCCAGAGCAAGAGTCTCATTAGTCATAAAAAACATAGTATGTGTTGTTAAGGGTGATTATCACTAAGAAATACAGAATCTTTGTTTCAGGATAATTTGAAAAATGTAGGCTGGAATAAATGAATTCTTAAACTTTATTTTTTATGCTCATTACAAAACCTGTATCAAACATTATCAAAATGGCTTTCCTTCTAAAGCATATTGACGAATGTACATAGATTTCTCTTGCCTTGTAACCCTTAAGATACTAGATGATGCTGTAAGGAGTGGGGAATCAGCAGGCATTCTCAATTAAACTTTCTACTATTTTTGAAACACGCCGCCCAAGTTGAGAATAAGAGCTACAGTGTGATGTAGGTTTCAGAAGACCTCGTTTACAGTCCTAGATCCACTGACGATTTGTAAGGTAACTGTGGACAGGACACTTAACCTCCTTGACTCTGTTTCTTCATCTGAAAAGTGGGGATAACAATATCATCTTTTCTTAACACAGTATCTTTCTGGGTTTTAAAGATGCTTACAATGAGTAAATAATCTTTTAGATAAAACCTCTACCTCTCTGTAAGGTAATAAGAGATACACCAAACCGTGCCCTTCTGTGAAGAAACTGGGGAAGGCAGAAAGATGGCATGGGATAAGGAAGCAGGTAGGGCTGACTGTGGTGATGGCACATCAGCAGAGCACTGGATTTATGATCCTGGCAAACTAAAGAAGCACCAGGCACAAAAATACACTTCACTCTTCCCTTCATGACTTTAACAGAAATGGCAATGGACAGCCTATAGCTTGCTTCTCCTGAACTTGGAAAAGCTAACTGTCCAACTTCCATATGAATGTTCTTCTTTAAAGTTTTATTTTATTTTTAATTTTTTAGTATAACTTATATAAAATATATACTTATATAATGCATGATTTAGTATAATTTTTAATTTTCCAGTATAATTAATATAGTGTTATATTAATCACATGAATGTTCTTAATATAGAAATATCTTGACTTAAATTTATAGGCACTTCACTAATTCTTAATTTTTAACAATCTCATCTCAAACACACCTTGATTACCTTGAAAGAAAAAGCTTGTATTTCCACCCTATAAATAACAACTATAATAAATTGGTGACGACAGGGTTCCTGGGTGGCTCAGTCAGTTAAGCATCCGACTTTGGCTCAGGTCATGATCTCACAGTTCGTCAGTTCAAGCCCCACATTGGGCTCTGTGCTGACAGCTCAGAGCCTGGAGGCTGCTTCGAATTCTGTGTCTCCTGCTCTCTCTCTGCCTCTCCTCTGCTTGCGCTCTCTCTCTCAAAAATAAACATTAGAAAAATAAATTGGCAATGAAATTAAAAGTATATTTAATAAGGATATTTACCAATTCTTTTGGTTAATGATGATATTTTTTCAGCAGTTCTCACCTAAAATAGAAATATGGATTTTAAGTTAGAATTCTTTTTGGTAAAGGCAATTACCTCAATTTGAAAAGTTACGTTAATCATGAATTTATAAATTGGTTTTATTCCAATGTTCACAAGAGGCATAAGCTGATGAAGCTAGAAGTTAAAAGATCATTTAACCCAATCCATTCATTTTACAGACAAGAAGTTGAGACTCAGGAACATTAAACAACTTGATGGAGGCAACAGAGTTCATGGTGGAGCCGTAATGGCAACTCTGCCCCCTCCTCCCCGAGTCCATGGCCGTTCCCTCATGGTGCCAATACCTTGGCCACCCCAGGCCGCACCATCAATTAGACACCATTTTGAGATTTAAAATGTTGTCCTATGCAAAGTTTAAAACAATTAGAATATAAAACATATTACATAAAAGTCTAATTTCAGAAAGCTGAGGGATTAAGTATTTTAGTGCTTACAGCGATAGTTAAATCAGCTCAGGGGGAGTCTCCTCACAAGTCGGCTTCAGAGTAAGAATAAAAAAATTCTTCAAGATCTCCCCTTTAAAGCTCACCATACACTATTAATTTAAAATACCATACTGTGAATTTTACACCAAGAAATCATTGCAAAAGAAATTACATAGTATTTAAAAATATATATTCTACAATATGACTTACCATAGAGTCCTCAAGTGAATGGGTTAAATGAATATTGGTTACATATTCTTGTCCCTTCTCTTCTAACAGATATTTACACCTAAACAATTAAAAGAACGTTAACTTTGGTAGCTGATAAATTAGTAAAGTAGAAGTAAAGATATAATCTCCATTATCTTAATTCCATTAACTTGCTTTTGGTACTTCTAAGAAGGAGCAAAATACAATGTTATTCAATTCCCTATCAACTGTCATTTTAAGGTTAAAAAATGTTCCCTTTGTTATGCGGCTTCGCTAATCTTAGTGAGGCAAAAATATCACCTATTAAATTATCACCTTAACATTTAAAATTTTTTTTTCAAACAGTTAATCTTAAATTTTATTTACAGGATTTTTGAAGGAATTCTTTAGACTTTCAACCTTTCCTCCTAAGGCTTTTTAAGGTTAAGATTTATTTTCAAACAACTGCTCTGAAGTTTTACATTGTACTATTTTGCAGGCCAAAAATTCACATCATTTATATATATATGTATTTTATTTTTAAAGAAGATGCCAAAGAGATGTTTAGTGTATGTCGCTATCATTCTAAGATGCCATTGATTATAAGAAGCATGATTATTTTAAGTACCACCACTGTCAATTCGATTATGACCCACCACCAGATGTGTCCTCATTTCAGAAATCTGCAAACATGAACAACTTTGTCTTAGAATCACTGAGACTGAGTAACATCAGCTAGAGGAGGTGATGGATTCCTAAGGAAACTCCTTGACGGAAAGGGCTCTCTCGTGCCCATCCACAAGAACAAAAGTATGTATTTGTAATCTGGCGTTTAGAAATAAAATCATCTGAATGCCACAGATACAATATACAAGCAATGAATGCTTTCTTTGGTCACCAGAGAAGGCTCAGGACTTTTTTTTTTTCCCTATAAAGTAGGTGACCCCATTTTTATAAAACCTGGTGTGAATTTCAAGCCATGGTGAGGGCAAAAATAGTTGAGGTGAAAAGTTATTCAAGATTTTCCCACTGCAAAGTGTCTAACTTGCCCGTTCCTGAATAAACATTTAAATACCTTACCCTGGATACCACTTAGCATGTTGTTCCCAAGGGTCTTCACTGGGCTTCCAATCAGTGAGCCCTCCTCCACAGTAGAAGCATTTCACTTTGTCACCTTCCCCTACGAAAAGACACAGGTAAAACTACATGTGTTTGTGCAATCAAAAGCTTACACAAAAATACTCCTTTTAACTCTAGGAAATTAACCATTTCTAAATACATGAAGGTTGCATGGCTTCAAAGAAGACATTCAAATTCACATTTAAGTAACAGACACAGCTGTCTGAGGAGGAAATACACACTAAATGCACTGAATTAATCTGAGGTATTTTACAGAAGACAAAAATAAAACTGCGCAATTTTTATGTGAAAAATTACAACTGTTACCTTCTCTCTAGCACATCACTTGAGGCCATCCATACTACACTTCTTCAAACTGTAACTTTAACAATAAATCTCAGCATGATGAAATTACAAAGTAAGTTTCTCTACGGGTTACACCTATAGGACACTAAAGAAACCTTCGTGATTTCTACAGAATACTATGTAAATAAAACATTGAAGTAACTGGTATTTTGTATTTGAGCACTGTTCAATCCTAAAGTAAATGGGTCAGACACATAAGGGTCTAACTTTTTGCATATTCCTGGAAGCAATATCACACTAATGGCCCTTCCTGACAAGTTTACAAGAGTCCATTTGAGAAGTGCTTATTTGAAGCAGTAAGGCATCATACAGGGCAGCTTCCAAATACGTAACCTATACATAAAAGGCAGATACTAATTTTACTATCAGCCACACTAAACGGTCTAACATTACCTCTTTTTATGAGGCGTAGAAAGAATGCAATGAAATATATGTACTGAGCACACAGAGTAGGTGCTCAATAAATTTACAGTTGGCATTGCTGTCAGACCCATTCTTCTCTCGGGGATAGCTATCAGCTTTTGTAGGTCATCCTTCTCCAAAAACCAAACACATAAAGGGAAAGCTGACTCACAATATGGTGGTCTCTTTCACATAAATGTAGTGCTTACACTGCAGATTCAATGTAAGGGCTCACAGATTTAATGCTGATATAAACCATCATGCCAGCCTACACCTAAATATTTACCAGTCTAGGGAGCTACAGCAATCGATTTACTTCTTTTGGAGCCCTGAGACAGTTGGAAAGTTATTTAACGGACTGGTTTTATGATGACGTTTACCTAAAGCATAAAATCCAGCTCTTGCAAGCTGCTCCTTGTCAATGGAGTACATCCACGTCCCAAAAGTGACGATCCGTGCTTCATAATCTGCCATGGATGGATTTCTCGGAGCATTTGTTGAAATGGGGAAACTCCTATCAGATTCACTTCGAACATTGATATTCCGGCCCAAAACAAAGAAGCAATTAGGAAAGTGTCGCCTGTGTTCTGACCACGCCCGATCGCAAGGTTCCCAATTTTTCAGTTTTCCACCACAGCAAAAGCACTGCACTTGATCATCAACACCCGTGTAGTAGAGTCCGGCGCTAGCTAACTCTCTCGGGGTCAGGTGGGCATAGTCTGGCCAGTTCTGAAAGGACTTTAATCTAGCTTCCTCACTATACATGGCAGGGTTCCTCGGGTAGATGGTGTCTGATAGATCTACGACCTGTCCAGTTCTCAAAAGATAGTCTGCGTGGGTCTCGGATGGCCTGTCTACAACAAAGTGATTTCTGTTCCCCAGATAGTTTTCAGCTTTATACTGACCATTCTGGATACCAGGATTTGTCGGTTGCCCGACATTATTTTCAAAATAAAAGCCGTTGATAAATCTGCAATTTGGGGATACTTTCCGGTGTCTTCCAACCGCGGAGTCTCCGTACTGCCATCGATCTACTGCCGCGCGGCAGCTGAAGCAGCGCACGGTGTCCCCTTCACCAGTGTACAGAAAACCCGCTCGTGCCAGCGTTGATGCCGAAACAGGACTACTGCTTGGGAAATTAGCGAAAGTCTTTAATCTATTACACTCTTCTACAAATTCTTCATCCTTATTGAGATCTGCAGGTACACAAGGTTTAGAGGCTTCACAACTATTAAAAGTCATCTTCTCCTCTTGAAAATAGGACTTGTCCACCTTTCCTAAAAAGAGAACATTACATTAAGAAATCCAAAATGTGAGACATAGGCAATATAATTTTGATATTAGAAGCTAACAAATTACCTACTGATGACATAAAAGTAATTACACAATCTCTAAGAAACATTTTAATTCTAAATATTAGAGTTCTACACTGCCACATGATTCAAGTTACAAAGTAAAAGCCAGCATTTTTTGTTTTTTACAGGAAAGTAATATTTAAGTGGGGAGAATATAACTATTTATTTTTAATTGCTTATTTTACATAAATACAGAAACGATGTGATGCAGAATATGTTAAAATTATTAACCATGTAAAACCATTAATTAGGAAAAACATAAAAGCATAAAATATGCAGATTCTTAAACTCCCTGCATAATTGTTAAAATGGATCATTGTATATTCAAGGCATCAAAGTTCAGTATTTAGAATTTTAAAAAACCCTGTATGTTCAGAATGTTAATAAATTAATTTTTAATATTTCTTTACTTCCCTGGAAGGTAAAAGATATTTGAGTTTTATTCACAATATTGGTTACAATATGTCCTTGAGGAGCATCACATGTTTCTAGGGGCGCCTGGGTAGCTTAGTCGGTTAAGTGTCTGACTTCAGCTCAGGTCATGAACTCACAGTTCATGGGTTCGAGCCCCATGTCGGGCTCTGTGCTGACAGCTCAGAGCCTGGAGCCTGCTTTGGATTCGGTTTCTCCCTCTCTCTCTGACCCTTCCCCTCTAGTGCTTTCTTGGTCTCTCTCAAAAAGAAATAAAACATTAAAAAAATTTTTTTTAATATCAAATGTTTCTGATTTTCATGCATATGAAAATGGACTCTTCTAGTCCATTTTTGGTTGGAATTGGATCATTTCAGATGCATGTATTACTGCCCTCTAGAGGGTAGCTTACGAGAGATTCTAAGTATGTGTAGACCTTAATTGCAGTTACTTTTGCCATCAAATTGCTGGTCAAGAAACAGTCTGTTCAAATGGAAGAGGAGTACTAGTGTAACCTCATTAAAGTTGCCAAATTATAGCTGTGTAACATTTAGCCCAGAAAAAAATCCTAAAAGGAACTAGCTGGGTTATGAGAAGGGTGGCCAAATAATTTATCCTCCAAACCTGGAAACTCTGAAACTGAAAAAAAAGTTCCAAAAATTACACTGAGACAACAGGCATAAATCAGGGCTGCCCCAGGTAACTCTGGTTCTCCAGAATCTTGCACGGCTCCTAATACTGTGCTCAGTATATGCTTGGCAAAAATTTTTTTATAAAAAGAACAGACACGATAATTTTTTTTAAGTTTGAGAGAGAGTAAGAGAGCATATAGGTACAAGGGTGGGGACAGAGAGAGAAGGATAGAGAAGGAGAATCCCATGCAGGCTCTGTACTGTCAGCATAGAGCCCAACACAGGGCTCAAACTCACAGAACCGTGAGATCATAACCTGAGCCGAAGTCAAGGGTCAGACATTTAACTGACTGAGCCACCCAGGTACCCTGGGACATGGTGATTCTGTCTCTACTACGTATGTGCATTAATTGATTTCTTGGGAAGAATTAAAAGCCCTGGCATTATGCTGGCACTGTATGTCTTGGAACATCATCTCAGAGTCATGTTCAACACAAGGCTTCTGTTTTGCAGGCTGGCAATAAACTTCAATCTCCCTTGGCCTTGTCAATTTACAATCATATTAACTCCTATATACTGCAAAAGTTCAGATATATCTGCAAGGAACAATTTTTGGAAGACAGTCTCCATGATTTTTCATTATTGTTTCCCAGATGTCTGAAAACATTTTGATACTAGCTTTAAGACCCCTTGTTGAATCAGAATAAGCTGGATGACAAAAATCAAGATTCAAAGAAACCAAAGCTGGCTGATAGGCTGAGATGAAGTTTAATAGGGATATTAAACATTACATTCTGACTTTTATTTTTTTTAATGTTTTATTTATTTTTGAGGGAGAGACAGAGAGAGAGAGACAGCATGATCAGGGGAGGGTCAGAGAGAAAAGGAGACACAGAATCCGAAGACAAGCTCCAGGCTCTGAGCTAGCTGTCAGCACAGAGCCTGATGCAGGGCTTGAACCCACGAACCGTGAGATCATAACCTAAGCCGAAGTCGGACGCTCAACTGACTGAACCACCCAGGTGCCCCTACATTCTGACTTTTTAAATCTGTTGCACAACTAAAGGAAAATGGAAACTTGGTTTGGAAAGAAGTCATGTGAAGGCAACCCTCTAGATTAAAATCTTGGGATTTTAGTTAAAAATTCATCTTGAGGGGTGCCTGGTTGGCTCAGTCAGTAGAGCATGTGACTCGATCTCAGGGTCATGAGATCAAGCCCCATGTTGGGCACAGAGCTTATGTCAGGGAAAAAAAAATCCACTACATGAGCCAATATTACATGGCTGCTTTAAAAAAGAAAATAAAAAAAACCCTTAAAGGTCCCAAAGTGCAATGCCAATACAAGAATGAACAGTCACAACAGTCAACAGCAGTACAGAATGGACTGGGCTGCCTGGGAGATTCCTCCCATCACTGGAAGGCACATCCACATGGATTAGGAGGTGGGGACAAAACACCTCTAAGTCTATAATGACCCTGAAGAATTAACGTTCAATATAATCCAAAACATATGAAAATTACCTTCTCTGAGGTGGTAAGTTTTATTTCTCAGGTCAATCAAAATAAACAGAAATGTAAAATCAAGATCTATTCTCATTTCCAGATAGTGGACATTTTGTACGGTTCAAGTAGTCACCCCATTTCAGATAATATTAGATAAAACTCCATCATTCAATACTAGCAGGAGAATCTCTATTTGAAGCTTTCAAGTGGAGACCTCATCTTCCCAGGGGTTATTTCCATGTTAATAGTTTAGATTTCACTGTTTTGAAAAGCAGATATTTATTCAGAAGCACCCAATTGAACGCTACATATACATTATTAGACTGTGAGCTTTTGTTGCAGGGTGAGAAAGCAGAATTATTAGAGAGGTTAAGAGTGAAAGGTAGAAAAATAACTGACAAAAGACAGAAACCTTGGGTTTGGAGGAAGGCACTAAATGAAAGGGAGGAGAGAGGATTTTTTTTCTAAAGAAGGATTTAAGTGAAATGAAGGCGGGAGAGATGATATTTAGAAAGTTAAGTATATATGTAGCACAGGAATTGTGAAAAGAAAAGAAAATGGGGTATGAATATTGGAGAAGGGTGACAAAAAGGTTTTGGATGTAAAAAGGTCTGAATACAATAAAGTATGCGGAGATAATTTAAGGCTTCTTTGTGAAAGCGGGCTCAGGCTTTGTATTAGGTAAGCAGAAAGGTAAGAAGGCACAGAGAGAAAGATGTCAAAGAAAGCTCCGACATTAAACGGGCTAGGCAGTAAGTAATCTTGAGGGGAACGGCGGTTGGGAAAAATAGTACTATGGAAGCCAACACTGGTACAAAAAGAACCAGCAAGCAGTGGTACATGTATATGAGGATGCCATGAAAGATTTCAAAACAGTTAAGATGTTGTGTTTAGAATACACACACACCAAAAAAGTACACATACATGGGGGCACCTCAGTGGCTCAATCGGTTGAGTGTCCGACTCCTGATTTGGACTCAGGTCATGATCTCACAGTTCATGGGTTCAAAGCCCTACATTGGGCTCTGTGCTGTCAGTGCAGAGTGTGCTTGGGATTTCCTCTTTCTCCCTCACTCTCTGCCCCTCCTCGGCTCATGCGTGCTCTCTCTCTCTCTCAAAAATTAACATTTTTTAAAAAGAAACATACATATATGTATATACATACACACACACAGCACGCATATATTTAGCCTAGTTAACCGGATAATGACAGCCATGAGCAGGTGCCAAGGAGAGAAACTAATTGCTAATCAAGCAATAATGTGGGAATGTGGGGGTTACAGGGGGGAGAAAAACATGCACGTTAAGTCCCACCTATGGGTATCTGCACCTATACAAAAGTTTCTATTTCCCCAGGCTTTTAATATTAAAGTTGTCAAATATATAGAATAATGGCTATTTTAATGGGGAAAAAGGACGTAAAATAAGATGCATATTAGACTGCCACTGGGTGAAAACATATATTCATGGATAAGATTTGTAAGGAAAAAAAAATTTTAATGTTTATTTATTTTTGAGAGAGACAGCATGAGCAGGGGAGGGGGCAGAGAGAGGGGGAGACACAGAATCCGAAGCAGGCTCCAGACTCCAAGCTATCAGCACAGAGCCTAATGCGGGGCTCGAACTCACACAAACTGTGAGATCATGACCTGAGCCAAAGTTGGACACTTAACCAACTGAACCACCCAGGTGCCCCTTAAGGTAAAACTCTACCCCGAACGTGAGGCTTGAACTTACAACTGTGAGATCAAGGGTAGCATGCTCCACCAACTCAGTCAGCCAGGGATCCCCCTTTATTTAACTGTAAGGTAACTTTTAATTAATGGGTAAATTACATTAAGGTGGCAGGAGTATAGGTGATCTTGCTCTCCAAAATGTCTTTTTCTGTCCCCCAACTGTCTTTAATAATATTTTCACCACAGGGGCGCCTGGGGGGCTCAGTTGGTTAAGCATATGACTTCAGCTTGGGTCATGGTCTCATGGTTTGTGAGTTTGAGCCCATGTCAGGCTCTGTGCTGACACTGCAGAGCCTGCTTGGGATTCTCTTTCTCTCTCTCTCTACCCCTACCCCACTAGCGCGCTCTCTCAAAAATAAACAAACTTAAAAAATAATAATTAAAAAATCTTTCCACCTACAGTCTCTGAGGTTGGTGCCGCCGGCCTGGGTCAGAAGCCTAGTTGTGGGGGAGGTAGATGAAAGAGAGGAGGTAGACAGGCTAAATGTCCCCAACCTCCTCCCTCCACAGGAGCCCTGCAGCCACTAAAAGCAGAGAGGAGAGAGGGAACTGTGCCTCTCTACCCGCTGCCCTGTGGAGCCCAGCATCGAGCCCCAGGCCCCGCTGGAGATGTACTTGGTGTGCTGTGGCTTCCTGGGCT